CACGATTACGAGCATATATATTGCTCCAATAATAACACAGGCCTGCAAAATTTAACTTTTTTCAGTTTCTAGAATAGGTGTACTTGTTTCTTGTAGTTTTTTATGTGCTAAAAACGAATCTGACCTTCAAAATGCCCCATCACGTCAGGATTTTTAGTAAATGTAGCCTAAAAGGTAAAAAATTGGCCATTTTAGCCATTTTTGATCATTTTTTTTGGGATAGAATTTTTTTTTCAATTTTCGACGAAAAAGTCGCATGGTACAACTCTTTAGCTTTAAAACCTATTTTTCAAAATTATTGTACGATTTTAAAAAAAAAATTATGACATTTTGAAATTTACAGTTTCAGTTACGCCAATAGACGTTATAGAGCAATTCCATGGGATGTGATCACAAGAATTTTTGATGATTGGAGCAATTTTATTGAAACGTTGTAAATGTTCCTTTATTTGTACAGAATGAAAGCCCACAAACAATTTTTTAAAATTTTTTGAGATATTTCTAATTAAAAATTTATGTCATTTTTTTAAAAAAAACATGGAACTTTTTTTCCTGTTATCCAAATGAGATCAATTTTTTTTAAATTGCTCACAAAAAGATGCTATTTTAAGAAAAAAATAGTTCATGAAAAAAAAATTTTTTTTGCCCGGAAAAAAGTAAAAAAACTTTTTGAATTCATTTTTTAAAAATACTACCTCTTCGATTTAAAAAATTTTTTTCTGCTTAATGCCTATGATGTTAAGAATAACTTCTCTAATTTTCATAATGGGACAGCAAGAACTTTGCCAGAAAAAAATGAAATATCACGTGCAGCGCGACGGGACGCGCGCATCTTAGTTTTCGCGTCCTTTATATAGTATGGAAACATTCAGATATCTCGAAAAGTACGAATTTTCGTAAAAAAAGTTTAAGACAAAAGTTGTTCAAAAAAAAGATCTACATATTTGAGACCAAAAAATTTGGCCAATGTTGGGCCATACAATGAAAAAAGTGGTTTTCTTAAATAAGACCATTAATTTTCAGTATCAAGTTCGTAATCCCTATGAAATTCTGCGTTCAGACATGTTGTATAAGTGCCCAAAATATTGGTCCCAATGTCTGAGATTGGGCCCAACATTTTTTGACAAACAAATAAATAAATTTTAAAAAATCTTATCTTTGGGGGCCCAATGTGAGACCTACTGTAAAAAAATTAGTTTCCATCCATTTCGTAATCGTTATGAAATTCCAAAAATATTTGGCCCAATCCCAGATATTTGGCCCAATATTTTTGGCATTTTTACTACAAGTCTTAACCCAGAATTTCATAACGATTACGAAATGAATACTGGAAATTAGTGGGTTTTATTTAAGAAAACTAATTTCTTTACTGTGAGCCTCACATTGGGCCGTGGAATCTCACATTGGGCTCTGTGCCCAATTACAAAATTAGCTTCGAATTTCGAATTCTGTGACCCCAAAAACCCCAAAGATAAGATTTTTAAAAATTTATTTATGTGTTTGTCAAAAAATGTTGGACCCAATCTCAGACATTGGGACCAATATTTTAGGCACTTATACAATATGTCTGAACGCAGAATTTCTTAAGGATTACGAATTTGATACTGAAAATTAGTGGTCTTATTTGAGAAAACCACTTTTTCCATTGTATGGCCCAACATTGTTGTAACATTGTAGATCTTTTTGTTTGGAACAACTTTTGTCTTAAACATTTTTTACGAAAATTCGTACTTTTCGAGATATTTGCCAGTTTCCATACTATATAATGGACGTGAAAACTGGGATGCGCGCGACCCGTCGCGCCGCACGGGACGTTTTAATTTTTTTCTCGCAAAGTTCTTTTTGTCCCATTATGAAAATTAGAGAAGTTATTCTTAACATCATAGGCATTAAACAGAAAAAAAATTTTTTAAATCGAAGAGGTAGTTTTTTCTAGAAATAAATTCAAAATTTTTTTTGACTTTTTTCCGGTAAAAATTTTTTTTTTTCATGAACTATTTTTTTCTTAAAATAGCATCTTTTTGTGAGAAATTTGAAAAAATTTAATCTCATTTGGATAACAGGAAAAAAAGTTACATGGTTTTTTTAAAAAAATGACATACATTTTTAATTACAGATATCTCAAAAAATTTTGAACATTTTTAAAAATTGTCAAAAATTCTTGTGATCACATCCCATGGAATTGCTCTATACCCAGCGAATCTTTAGACAGTTCTTGGGAAAAATATTTTCTAAAAAATCTTGTTTCTCTCTTATTGGCTTGAAATTTGTTACTCGGGGGTTTTTGGGGTCGCTGATTACGAATCTGAAGTCGGATTTTAAAAATTCAAAATGGCGGATCCAATAAGGCGGACGAATTTTACAAAAAATGATCTAATTTGCTTGAAACTCGTTACTCGGGGGATTTCGGGGTCGCTGATTACGAATGTGAAATCGGATTTTAAAAATTCAAAATGGCGGATCCAATATGGCAGAAAAAATTAAAAATTCATTGTATTCGCTTGAAATTTGTTACTCGGGGGTTTTGGGGGTCGCTGCTTGCGAATATGAAGTCAAATTTTCAAAACTCAAAATGGCGGATCCAATATGGCGGACGTATTTTATTAGAAATTGTCGGAATACCTTGAAAATTGTAACTCAAGGGTTTTTGTGGTCACTTATACAAAATCTATTGTCAGTTTTTATTATTCAAAATGTGCGATCCAAAATGGCCTACATTTTTTAAAGAATTTCAAAAAAAAATTCGTTTCTCTGAGGTTTTTGAACCAGTTAAGGCAGGCCATATTGGATCCGCCATTTTGAATTTTTAAAATCAGATTTCTTATTCGTAATCAGCGACCCCGAAATCCCACGAGTAACGAGTTTCAAGCAAATTAGATCATTTTTTGTGAAATTTGTCCGCCATATTTGATCCGACATTTTAAATTTTTAAAATCCAACTTCAGATTCGTAATCAGCGACCCCAAAAACCTCCGAGTAACAAATTTCAAGCCAATAAGATAGTAACAAGATTTTTTAGAAAATATTTTTCCCATGAACTGTCTAAAGATTCGTTGGGTATAACGTCTATTGGCGTAACTGAAACTGTTAATTTTAAAATGTCATAACTTTTTTTTAAAAAATCGTACAATAATTTTGAAAAATCGGTTTTAAAGCTAAAGAGTTGTACTATGCGACTTTTTCGTCGAAAATTGAAAAAAAATTTCTATCCCAAAAAAAATTATCAAAAATGGCTAAAATGGCCATTTTCTTACCTTTCAGGCTTGATTTACTAAAAATCCTGACGTGATGAAGCATTTTTAAGGTCAGATTCGTTTTCTGCGCATAAAAAACTACAAGAAACAAGTACAGCCATTCTAGAAACTGACCCTCGCAGGACTGTGTAATAAATGTTAATATTTAAAAGTTTTATAATTTTAGTTCGATTCAATAAACGTACATGATGTGTTGTAAATCGATGTAACCCAATGGTGCTGGCACCAAAAATTTTCTTCTTGTTTTTTATTCTCCAGTACATATAACTACATGGTGATTGTTCAAACCGGGCTGGTAAAGTGGGGGACACAACTTCACTTTTCAGGACAGTATTTAAAAGGTCATCGACCATCTTATGAACCCTCAACCAAAAGCTGTTTTGACAACAAAAATTTCAGGTAGAAACCTTCGAGAACCCTAATTATCAAAGTTAAGATATATATGTATATATAATCTAATAATAATGAGAAAATTCAAGTACTAAGAAAATGTGAATGAATGACGGAATGAATACAAAGATTATTATACTATAATATAATATTTTATTTTGATATTTAGTGCAGTGCTTAATTGAAACCGCATGGCAGTAGCTTGATTCACAAGGAGCCAGCAATTTCTTTCAAGGTAAATTGAAATTGAGATATAAATAGTTATAATGACATTTAATATAACAATCGAACTTTATATTTATTTTTTTGGTATATTAATTTGAAACTTATTGATAATTTTTAATTAATTATTCAAAAGCAAAATTCTTGACACTTTTTCTATGCATGTAAAGATTTTACTTGAAATATGCCAACTTAAAAATATACTTTTTCATAATTTTTTGTTATCGTTTAATTCTGTGTAATATTTTTCAAAGTGTATCTTGATTTTCTGTAATTTAATCTCTTCTTTAAAACTTGTTTTCACTAAAATAAATACATTTAATTTTAAATTGAATTTTTGCGCAAACAATTCCTTTAAAGTGCCCTTCTTTTGTTTTCAAGGTGACCGCTAGACGATCAGATGAAAACATTGGTGCGCGTTATATATATATATATATATATATATATATATATAGAGAGAGAGAGAGTAGGGATGTTTTTATCTTGGTATATTTATATATAGGCCTTTGTAAAAAATATCAAATTTTCGTTTTATTATTTCCTTTAAAGTTTAAGGTTATATCTCACAAATAGTTTATCTCACAACTTAATATTAAAATTTTAAGTCTTTAATTAAATTTTACAAAACATGTAAATAACTTATTTTGATAAAAATCGACATATCATCTTTTAATGTTAAAGAAATTGATAGAGAAATAGAAATTTTTTAACGTAAAAAAATAGAGACATATCAGTCGATTCTAAAATTAATTTGTTAGAATTAATAAAATTTCATTTCCCGAAATTCACTTTTAACCGAATGTTTATTTGTTTCAATTATTATTTAACAAAATTGTTACTTTAACAAATTTTTAGTTTACAGATTTTTTTTTTATCAAATTGTTTCGAGTTATTATGTGCTTAAATTTTCAATAGACAAAATAAATATTTGAAAATAATTTTTTATTTTATAGATAAAATATTAGAAAAAATTTTTTTCTTCTCCAATTTTTTGTTGTTTTAATTTACATTTAACAGAATTCTTAAAAAGGTAAATTTTTATTTTACATCATTCTTATTTGTTCAAATAAATAAAAAAGCAATAAAATTCAGTCGTAGACTTATAACTATTATTATAATGTAATTAATATATAGTATTTAAAATTAATTATCTCATAAAAGAAAAGTATATAGATATGTATATGGTGTGTGTATGTATGTGTATGTGTGTGTATACATCTTTTAAAGAAATGATCTACATGCGTTGTTTAATATTATCGACCATAATTAGCATTGCTCTTCTTCACTGCAGTCGATGCGTTATCAACCCGTCGGATAATTGATCAACTTAGAATTAATTATGAGGCGTCGATATTAGAGAATATCACATTCTCAGTAAAGCAATTTATATACAAATAATTAAACAGTAGTTTAACGTTTGCGCAATAACTAATGGAAAGATTTAAATAATAATGAACAAACATATTTTTCGTACCTTTCTGAGAAGGCACATATTTATAATATAGTAAATATATAAGAAAGTATGTCATGAGATGATAAACTTTGATCGAAGATAAAAATTGCAATAATAATTAAAATAGGTAATTGTTTTAACTAAAAAACACATTGAATAACCTTTTGATCTTACAATTTTTATCATAATTAAATTAGATCATTTCATTGTTTAAAAAAGTATATAAACCACTGTTAAGAGGCTTATAGTTGTCATATTACTCCGGTGAGTTTCTGCCCGAACAGTATCGTTGAGTCGGCCCTTCAATCGTGAAATTGTACTTTTAAATCAGCGATAATAAAAAGAGTCTTGTTTCTTATAATTTATATAAGATCGAAGGTAATTTTCATTGAATTTTATAAGTTCATTTATTTCGATTGTCGTATAATATTATTTTATGAAAGTTACTTCCGATTATTAAGGAAACAAGTTTCTTTTTGTATTAAGGTACAGTGTCGAAAAGTAATTCTTAAATAGTATTGAATAGTCGTTGGTGCATAAGTGCTAAATAACGAACTTAATTATTGTCATCCTGCGATACAATTGTGTAAAGCCGGTTGCATTGTAACAATCCAGAACCAACTTCAACATTGTAAGTAAAATTATATTTTAAAACATTATTGTCAAATAAATTGTTCATTTTAAAAGGGAATGTGCATAATATTATTTACAAAGGACCCTTGTTCTTATAAAATGACACGAATCCACATAAAAACAAATATCAAGATTTACCAACTTGATAAATCAGCACTTTACCTTCCCTTTTTTGTTAATTAATAAAAACCACCCTCGCCTTAGCTCGGGACGTAACAATCAGAAGTAAAAAATTAACTTATGATTAGTTAATTGGAAAATTGCGACTAAACATTTTTTTTGCAATTTGTTTAATTGCAAAAAATGTGTGATGTAAAATGAAAATTCGTCCATTTTAGAAATGTGTTAAGTGTTAATTAAAATAAACAAATGTCATATAGAAGGACAAAATTCTATCTAATATTTTTTCTGTAAAATAAAAATTATTTTAAATAAATATTCTATGAAATGAAACTTCAAAGAAATAACAACTCGAAAAAACTCGATAAAATAAAAAATCTGTAAAATAAAAATTTCTTCAAGTAACAATTCTGTTAAAAAATTAATTAATTAATAATTAATTTCTGTTTAATAATTTAAAAAAAAAAAATTTTATTTGTTTCAAATATTATTTACGAAAATTGTTTCTTGAACAAATTTTTAGTTTACAGATTGTAAAAAGTAAAATGAAATGTGGTGTTACGTAAGTAATTGTTTTTTTAAAAACTTTTTTACATTTTGTTTTTTGAACTCATTTTTTCAATGTAATTCATATTCATATCGGAGAGATATATTTTTTAGAGATATTTGAATTAAAACATTGTTGTACCATTTTTTCTTTTTTTTATAACATTTGTTCTTTTTATCCTACAAAAAAAAGTTCTGAATGTTTTTTACTCTAAAAATGTTTAATTCAAAATATACAAACTTCTTTAACACCAAAATGTCTCTCAAAACCTAAAAGTAAAGAAAAATCTGAGACATCATATGTCGTTCTCATAAGAAACTCCCCATATGTTTTCAGATATCTTTTATGTAAATACCATAGAAAAAGAAGTTGTCCAGGATGAGGGGTAATTAAAAGAGACGGTAATTTCAAACTTACCGTGCAACACTCACATACGCAAAACGAACGTGAAGAAAGAATTTTATCATTTAGAAGGGAGTTACATAACAGCTCCATTAGCCAGCCAAACACTCCTCGAAGTATTTATCAGACTTTCAGTCCTTTGTAAGTTTTAATTATCAAAAAATTATAAACATTGATCTTAAAATACTTTTTCAATATTTATCATTTTCACGTTCAGTGCCATTTTTATAGGGCGATAATTAAATGCCAAAGAATTTTTAGAGACCGTTCGACACTTTTAAGTTATTTTTTATTTGTATGTTTCAAAAAAAATTGAAATAATCAAAGTAACATAATAATTTTTAATTCATTTTTGTAGGCATGAAAATTTTGAAAATGATCTTCCATTTAATGCCACACAAGCAAATATGACAAGATGGAAAAATTCACACAGTCCAACGGAAATTCCGAATGACTTAAATCATTTTTCAGCAACAATAAACAAACAAATTTGGATGAATTTACGTAATTATATTGGAGGATCACTTGAATACATTTTAATAACTGGCGATGAGTTTAATTCTATTTTAATTATTGATCCGCAATTCTCAAGACCATTACTAGAAATTGGCAACTTTTTAATTCATATTTCGATAACAACAATTCCTTCTTCTGTATGGTGCAAACAAATGTTATCCTTAATATGCGTCAAAAGTGGCTATGTAAGTAATTATAATTATTCATTTTGCTCTCTTTCCCACGAAGAAAGCTTGTAGTTGTGATAATTTTCGATTTTTTAAAAATGGATAATATGGGCTCAAGTATCTAGAATGCATATATTGCCTGTGTCACAAAATCTTATGCACAAATTATTTCCAATACGCTTTGATGGATTGTCCTGAAATTTTGTAGACTTATTACAGTCAATAATATCTAAATTTAGACACAAGGATTCCCAAAAAAATATCCACATAAATTTGTTTATGTCCCCTTTTCAAAAATTCGAAAATACGTTTATTAACCAAAAAAAATTTTTACACTGCAAATTAAATTTTGTTTGTTTACTACTTTTTCACTTTCTATTCAGCGCAACTCGCCCATTTTTCTTTTTTTAAGTGTTAATTTTTTTACATAATAAGTATTTACTTTATTAATTTTTTTTAATATATCAAATAATAAATCATTTATATAATAGGAATTCCAATTAATTGCAAGCCATTGAAATAATGGGTTCGACATACTCAAAAACCATTCAGCTCTGTAAATATTGGATAAAAGTAAAAATAATAAATAAAAGTTATTTATAAGGTAAAATATTGTGAAAAAAATTTATGAGAAGATTAAAAGAATAGTTGGAGAGTCAATTTATGCATGTAAATATTAGATAATTATTAATTCTTTAAAGCTTAATTTATTACAATTCTTACATAAATGGATTCTCCAACTATCCTTTTAACCTTATCATAACTATTTTTTTACAATATTTTACCTTATCAATAACTTTTTTATTTTTCACTATTTCCCAATATCCACCGAGCTGAGTGGATTTTAAGTATATCGAATTCGCTAGGGTATATTTTTAAAAAATATTAATTGTTTTAATCATTTTCTTAGCTAATCCCATGTGCCTGGGCACTCATGGACACAAATTCTACACAAGCATACACAGCTATTTTTGAAAAAATAAGAGACATCACTCCAGAGTTTAAAATGATTTCGGTTCTAACAAATTTTTCAAACTCATTGCACACAAGCATTTAACAAGTTTTTCCTGCAGCCATAATTTCGGGATGTTTGTTTCACTATCAGGAGGTATTTATGACTAATAATAAATAAAAACTTTTAAATTCAAACAAAATAAATATTTAATATAGACCGAATTCACTTTAAATTCCACAGGCTAAACATACTCGAAGCTGAAAAAAAAATTTTCTCAGAAATTTTGTTTTTCAAAGTTTCTTAAACAAAACAGATTTTTTATTTGGCTAAAAAAATTTGGCTTTAAATAGTAGAAAATATGAGAAAAGTAACAACCAGTGTGCTCAAAATATGTAAATTTAAATTACTTAAAACCCTCAACTTCTTCTTTGTTCCAATTTTTTTTTGTAATCGTGTTCATACTAAAGAATATTTTCAATAGCAATTCAAATTATTTGCGACAATTGTTGAGAATTTTTTTATTTTAAAATACAATAGCAATAAAAAAATTTCCTCAACAAAAGTTGTTCCTCCTTAAAAAATGTTAAAAACGTATCTCTTGATATTTTTCTCTATTTTGCTTTGTTCTCAATATATTTCGCAAATTTTCAGCTACGATAATGTTTAGTCTCCCAATTTTTACAAAATTAATAGTCAGAAATTTAAATTTTTATTATTTATAATTAGGTAAACACTATTAAAATCATTTCTTTATGTAAAGATAAAACAAATTCCATACTTATAAAAACTGTAATGGAACACTAAATTTTTTTTTTTTTGAAAATGTTAAGGTCATGTGATTTTTATGTCTATAATGTTAATTTGTCCGAAAAAAGTTTCAACTCAATCCATTCAGCATTTTATTTTTTTCACTTTTAATACCAAAATTTATATTTCTTTTGAAAAAAGATAAATATTTACATTATAAACATTAAATCAATAAATGAACCTACCAATTTGACAATTCGCCCAACACTTAGCTGCACGCAGTAGTAACATTTAAACATGCAAGAAAGTTAAAAAAAATTGAAATTCAAAATTTTGTTTTTTCAAAATCATTACCTTATAAGAAATTCAGTGGCTAAACTTTTTTTCTTTTGAATTTTTTTTTTATTAAATGAACATTTTAGATAATATTGACAAAACAAGGAAACAATTTTATTCTCAAATTTCTCTCAATTTTTAAAACATAAATCGTTGCATCTTTGACAAATATTGATCAATTCACTTAAAATTTGATATATACATAAATTTTATTAATATCATTTCAAAATCCAAAAACTTAACAATTTTAAAAAATACATAAATTTTGTACAAGATAGTAGTTTTGAAAAATAAAAATTTCGAATTTCAATTTTTTTGACATGTTTTACTAGTCGATCAGGTTGCACTTTGATCAAATTGGGAGGTTCAATTTTTACAATGAATACTTTTAAAACTAATACTATCAATTTTTTAGGAAGTTTACAAACTGACTATCCAGCATGGGCTAATTAATTATTTAATTCAAAATGATGACCGAGAAATTAAGGAATTTCTACAATTTATCTTCACTTTGCCACTTTTGCCATCTCAAGTAATTAATTAAACATTTTCTGAAAAAATTGAAAGTCTTAGTGCAAATGCTTATATCGTGCTGCAAGTATTTTTCTTAAACTATGACCGAATTTGGTTAAGACAAGTCACTGCAAATAAATTCAGCGTCCACAAAAATTTTGAACGATGTACTGACATGTTCGAAAATTACAATACAACCTTAATATCAGAATTTGGGCTTTATCCTATGGTGTGGAAATTTCCAGGTAAAATATTTATTATAACGAAATTTTTAATTGAAATAAATAAAAATTTTTACAATTAACATTTTTCAAAACAACAAAAACATAGTCTCCAAATATCACAATTGTTTGCAGCAATTTTACAGAAAGTTTACAATACCAAGTTGGCATGGTAAATTAGCTGCAAAATTGTGGCAAATAGCGATATGTCCAAGCGTTTTAAACTTTACATTGCAAAATAATTTGCTGCAAGTTTTCTTTAAGTTTCCTATAAAAATTTTCTACAAACTTACAATGCAAAATTTAAAAAGGCTCGATATATCACATATCACTTGTGACATCTGTGTCTTTTGGAATTTTAAACTTTTGTCGATATTTTTTTAATTTTCTTTGCGTTTTTATTATTTAAAAGTTTTTATTGGCTTTAATTTTTCTAAGTTTTATCGAATGCATAAAAAAATGCGATTGAAAAACAAAAAGTAGGAACCAAATATAATGATATCTGCGATATAATAAAGCTGTCATAATATTATTTTCCTACTTCTCGTTTTTCAATCGCATTTTTTTTATGAATTCGTACAATCTTTCGGATTATTAATTATAGGGCGATAATATATTAAAGGTTTCTCCTTGCCAAAGAATTTCAGAGACCGTTAGACACTCTTAAATTATCTTTTTTGTGTTTAAATAAGTTTATTTTCACATGAATTTATAAAATTCTAATATTATTTTATATGTGAATTAAAGTAGCACTTTGCAAAATACAAGCTCATGGGTTCAGAAACAAAAAACTATCGACGATGAAAATTTAAATGGAATTAATGCACTGAAATTATTAAATAGACGAAGTATATCAAGAATTAGAAATTCATGGAATAATTTAGAGTTGTCAACAATCACAAAAACTGAATTCATTAATCAATGTCGTAGAATTTACGCAGAATCGAGAATTGAGTATTTCAATGTAAGTCTTGAAGGATTTGAAACAGAGGACATGTTAGAATTAATCAATTTTTCTAACAATGACGCTGATGTTGAACGTAAGAATTTTTCTTTATTTGTATTAAAAATATTTAAATTATTTAATAATAAGAATAATAATAAAAACAATACCCAGATAGCCCAACTTCTTGCATGGACCTTGTAATGGTATTACATAGCAAGACATGCAATATTACACTGCAATATTGGAGCAAGCCTCCTGCAAGATTAAAACGTCAACATTGCACGGCAATCTTGAGACAGCATTACGTCACAGTTACTTTGGGGGTATCAAAAAGCGTTGCAGATCAATTTGATTTAAAAAATAGGTCAAAATGATCCAAAATTTGTATTATTTTACTGCAACATTTGATGTCAATTGTTTGTTCTGAAACGTCAATGACATAACCATCGTTGAGTTTATGAAAAAATTGCATTTTCTATTTGAAGTTTTAGTAAAAATTGTTAAAGCACTCGACTTTGAATTTAAAAAAAAATTTTGTTTATTCAATTCTGTTTTGTGCAACTAAATCTTAATTCTTTGAAATAAGGTTGTATAATCAAACCATAACCGCTTGCTTAGAATTGCTTATACTTGTAAGAAAAATTTCTTTTAAATTAATTTGTTAAAATAAAATAATTTGATTACAATAATTGAATAATTTTCTGCGTTTTTTCTTGTAATTTGGATATTTTAATCAAACATTTTCACTTTACTATTAAAGAACATTTTATCAAATTAGAAATTGTTTTGCATTGTAGGTTCCAACATTTTTAGAAAAATCCCCTTCTGAATTTGAAAATAAATTTTTCACATTGATTTACATCGATTTTAATTATTTTTCCTGTATACATATAGTAAAAGAAGCAGATCTATGATATATTTAAATTTTTTCAAATTGCAAAGAATTTTTTTGCATGATAAAATTTCTGATTATTCTGAATTTAAACTTAAATTTAGGCTTTAATTTAAATTTAATTTAAACTTGAATAAGGCTTGAATTTAGACTCATTTCTTAAAATTCAAAAATAATTTTTAAGAAATAAAAACAAACTTTGAAGCAATAAAGTTGTAATAATAAAGTAATTTATTTGTTTAAATTAAATTAAATTTTGAAAAATTTAAAATAAAGTAAACAATTGTAATAATAAAATTAATTATAAATAAAATATTACTTAATAAATAATAATAAAGCAATAAAGCAATAAAAAAAACAATAAACAAGAAAATAAAAAAAATAAAAATTCTATTCAACAATCCTGATTTTGAAAAATTGGTGTTATTTCTTTCGAAATGTTCCTTTTTTAATTGTCTGAATTGTAGGAAATAATTTCTAGATTAATTGTTGGATTTGGTTTTGAAAATTAAAAATTTAATATTAGCTTTATGTAAAATTCAACGCATTGATGATACAATTTTAATTGGTATTAAAAAATCAAAAACAGTTATCATTATGTTGACATTTTGAAACAAGTAAAAGTTAGGTAAAAGTTAAAACAACTGACAATTAGACAATAATGAAAAATAACGGACAATAATATATTAATAAATAAGTGATATGACACAATATTTGATGTTTGTTGTCTCGATATTTGGAACGGATAAAATCTGAGAACAGGTGACAACAAGATTTTCAATTGATTTGTTCATTGTATGTTCGGGGTCCTCTTACTATTGTAATTGCAATCTATATATATATATCAGCTGTTTTAATATTAGCACATTTATTTCCGGAAACAATAAGCCCTGCAATAAAGTAATAATTATATTCTGTAGTGAAAGAAAATTGGAATATTTAAAGTTTTTACATTTTTCCAGTAAGAAATACAAGAATAAAAACTTTAGTGTTAAATCGAGAAATATTACTTGATATCCAGGAATTCTTTGTCAAACTAATGTGGAACAATTTATTATGAAATAAATAATATAAATAAATATATTATTATAAAAATAAAATTAACGACATGTATAAAATTTTACTTAAAAGCAAATCAAATTTAATGCTTTCTTTACGCACAAGCAAATTTTTTTCTTACCTCAACGAGAAAACAAAAATGTTCATAAAATGATCTCCTTTATAACTTTAACATAAAGGACACCTTTTTTGTTTGCTTACCAGCTTAAGTGTTATAATCAATTTTTTAATATATAAAATTTTTTAATTTAGTCATTGTTGAAAAAAACTTTTGTTATTAACAAGCATAATTAATTTAATAAGAAAAGCAAAACATTATTTTCTGTGCCAATCAAACCAATTTTCCGAATCAAATTATTTTATTAAAAAAAATTAATTGGAATAAAATTTTTGTTTCAAGCACCAGGAATTCTAACCAAACGGTTATGGTTAGAATATCAATCCTTACTGATCCAATGAACCAAAAAACCAATTGATTAAACAAAAGTTTTTTTTAAATTCATAGTCGAGTGCTTTAACAATTTTTTACTAAAACTTCAAATAGAAAATGCAATTTTTTCATAAACTCAACGATGGTTATGTCATTGACGTTTCAGAACAAACAATTGACATCAAATGTTGCAGTAAAATAATACAAATTTTGGATCATTTTGACCTATTTTTTAAATCAAATTGATCTGCAACGCTTTTTGATACCCCCAAAGTAACTGTGGTTGTAGTATCGAGGCAATATTTCACCCGAAGATTCGCCTATTAAAAATAATCTTTATATGGAAGCGAATCTTGGGGTGCAATATTGCATCAATATTATTTTATGCTTGCATTAAAATTTTAGACTAAAACGAAAATTGCAATTTTATCTTGTCCGAAGCTTACCATGTAATATTGTCCGAGACTTGCGTTGCATAATTGCTTCAATATTACGACGTAATGCTGTCTCGAGATTTCCATGCAAGGTTGATGTGAGGCGGAACTTTTTATTCTTGCAGGAGGCGTGCTCTAATATTGCAGTGTAATATTACATGTCTTGTCATATAATACCGTCACAAGGTTCATGCAAGAAGTTGCGCTATATGGGTATTTTCACCCATATGTTTAAAATTTTTAAAAATTTTTTAACAATAGCTGTAAACCATTTTTTTTGTTTTAATAATTTAAAACAATTTAATTTGATAAAGATATAATATTTAATTATTGAAACCCAATGTTTCACCTTCTTTCGAAAAATTAAAATTTAATTGTTGACCCTTTGTCTTTCATGTGTCCCAATATGATTAATTTTAAAAACAATGTTTTGTTGAGTTGAGAATAACTTATAAAAGGCAGAAGCTTAATATTTTATAAATTAACTTATGTTTTTACAGATTTAAATTTTTTTCATATTTCCGTAAAAGCTAAGGCATTAATTTAATTTCAATTTTCATATACATATATAGCGAGTTCAAAGATGTTGCAGAATATGTCCATCAGGGGCAGAATAAAGAGGGTGAGAATTGAACTTTATTGTTCATGATTCTTCATTTCATTTCAATTTGTCTTTGTCATTCGGTATTTCTCCATTTCTCTAAAGATTGTGATAAGGATATTAGACTTTATCATGTTACATGTTTATCAAAATAACTGTTTTTATATTAATAAAATGGTTTTTTATTTAACTCATCCATGGTCCGTAATATTATTTGTAATTAATAACAAATAAAACATATTAATACCACAAAATAATAAAATTATTACTGTAAGAGTACGATCATATCAACAAGAGGAAATTTTACATATGCATTATAAAGAGTATCTCACTCACACACATGAACAGGATTTGACATAATGGTACTCTTACGATCCAATGGGGGAAATCATTAAAATTAATAATATTATAATAAATATAATTTTTCATTCAATTGCTTCCTCATAAAAGAAATATGATTTAAAAAAAAAAACGTATCGCTTTCAATATTTGGAATCCTTTTTCGATTAATGACCGTGGATGTACCAGTTACCGTCCATGTCCCAGTATCCGTCCATTTTACAAATATCTCGTATAGTAATTTAAATTATTTTTTAACAATAATTCATTCCTTTTGGCACGCAATCGACTTATTAGTTTAAGTAAACAAATAAAAGAAAATAATTTTTTATAAATGTTATTTTGAAAATTAAACTGGACGGAAACTAGGTTTTAGGTGGACGGCAACTGGGACATCCACGGTATAACAAAGTTAATGAATTTAAAAAATTCTATGTTTAACTATTGTTTTTATTCTAAAAAAATTCTTAAAATCTCCATTAGGAAGCAAAATGACCACAAAAATTTAAACTTTAACTTTCTAGCGATTTTATACTAAAAATTTTTAAATATATGCAGATAATGAATTGCAGTTCGATCAAAATCGCCGTAGAGAGGAGAATTTCGAAGGTAAAAATTTTACTTGTTTGTTGCTTAAAAAATTAATATTACATCTATTAAGGAAAATTTAAACAATTGTTATTTTTGTACAAATATAGTTGCTGCTTCTCAAGGAGAAATTACTGAACATGAACAAGGTAATATGAATTTTTTAATTTTTCTTTATTAAAATTTATAAGCCAAATCAAAGAAAAATAAAATTGTAATAAATTTACTGTCTCTTATCTGTATAAAAACGTCATCGGAAAGCGTGAACCATGTAAGCAAAAGAGACAATAATATATGTTACTCTCTTTTAGTAACATGGTCTTTCTGCTGACGCTTTCTGCTAACGCTTTTACGCAGACATGAGACGGCACCATAATTATATATATACAGTGCCGCTCAGCAGATTTTGCCCACCTCTGAGAATTCTACGCTTGGCGAAAAGTTTTATATTTCGGTTGCTAATAAAGATATAATAATGAGTGAGGACTTTTTTGAAAGCTTATATCTTCTACTTTTATGATATCTAAAACAGACATTAAAAAACAATTTTTTATTGTTTAATTGCTCAAAATAAAAATCCAAAATTTCCGGTTTTTTTTGTAATTTTAAAATCGCTGCAGTTTTTAAACCAGTCATCACATTTTAATCGTTGATAAGCCATTTGAAAGCTAATTTTATCACCTTTAAAATGATTCCATGTAAACTTTAATACGATAATTTGTAACAAAGATATGGACAATTGTTTAAAAAACTGCACTTTTTTTCAACTAGTCATAACTCAAGAACAATTGATTTTTGAAAAAAATTGTTGAAAAGAAAAATGTGCTTTTTTATGTATAGAATTAGAAAAAAAATATTTAGACATAAAAAAAAATTTTTTTTTTTTGACATATTTTGATTTTTTTTGAAAATCAGCACTTTTTGTAATTAGTAATAAGTCGAGAACGGTAAGCTATAGAAAAAAATTTTCAAGATAAAAAATGCCTATTTTTATGTATAGAATTAGAAAAAAAATATTTCGAATTAAAAAAAAAAAAATTTTTTACATATTTTGAGTTTTTTTGAAAAACAAAATTTTTTAAATTACTAATAAGTCGAGAACGGTTAGCTTTTGAAAAAAATTCTTAATATAAAAAATGTGTATTTTTATGTTTAGAATTGAAAAAAACACATTTTTTATATTAAGAATTTTTTTCGAAAGCTAACCGTTCTCGACTTATTAGTTATTTAAAAAAATTTTTTTTCAAAAAAACTCAAAATATGTAAAAAAAATTTATTTTTTTT